GATATATTCCAAAAGTTTTCTCAAAAGTCACTTGAGCCTGAACCTCTTTCAATTAGCTTACGACTTCGAGCAGTTAAGGAAACCCGTGAACAAGACTGAATGGATTACGCATGGCCAAACAGCTATTGTCAATGCTTATTACGAGCCAACAGAAAATAGCATTCGTGAGAAATATTTTCGAACTTCATATTACCATTTTAATGAGATTTTTATGTGAAGTAATAATTTTTACGAGCTTATTAGTGTCAGGTATTTCCAGTTCAATTCCATCTTGTTAGCAATTGATATGTGAGTCTCGGTGACTCGTTAAAGCATTAGCTCATATGTCAAAATCTGGATTTGCATTTCAGCTATATATTCAGTAGGCGGCAAGTTCATTCGAATTCAACACTAGTTCATTTATATATTTTCGTATGGAAATTGACTAATACATTTTTATCATAAATTGATTTGTATAATTTTCAGAGTTTCCTGCCGGGATTTTGCAAGGAAAATTCTTCACTAAGGATAGGCCAAAATATATGAATTATGGTGCGGTTGGCTTTGTAATGGGACATGAAATGACACACGGTTTCGACGATCAAGGAAGGCAATTTGATAAGGAAGGTAACTTGATCGAATGGTGGGAACCGGAAACGAAGAAGAAGTATTTGGAACGTGCTCAGTGTATCATCGACCAATACAGTAATTACACAGTCAAAGAAGTCGGCTTAAAGGTAAGTAATGACTTGAAAAGTAGTCTACTAGAAAATATGACATAATTCGTAATTGACCTGACCTACCTACTTTTCTGTTAATATAGATAAATGGTAAAAACACCCAAGGCGAGAATATTGCGGACAACGGCGGTATTAAAGAAGCATATTTTGCCTACAACGAGTGGGAGAAGCAAAACGGACAAGAACCTCGTCTACCTGGACTGTACTTCACGTCCCAGCAAATGTTTTGGATTAGTGCAGCGAATGTTTGGTGTAATAAATACAGACCCGAAGCTTTGAAAGCGCGAATAGTCACAGATGTGCATAGTCCAGGAGAATTCCGTGTTATCGGACCAATGTCAAATATGCAAGAGTTCTCCAATGATTTTCAATGTCCACTGGGCTCTCCCATGAATCCCGTTAAAAAATGCACAGTTTGGTAATTATCATTGTATAGAATTGTAAATCCTGTATAGAATTGTAAAATTGTACTCTTTAATTACGTGACATGATATCCTATTTATTCAATTAATCATTCGACGATAAGTACACGTTATTATCAGCTATTTTATTGCCTAATCAATAATTATCAAAAAGTAATACCTCATAACTTATACTTGCAATCGATAGCTTCATAAGTTGTTACTATTATGAACTTATGTTGTCAAATTTAATGTTTGATTATGTTTCTTATTTAGAATATCTTTTTGTATCACAAAATAAAATCTCATATTGCTAATGTATATTAAAATAAAATTTTTCTTGTCAATTACATGTTTTTTGACAAGCTGAAATATTTCAAAAAATTACTTAAGAGACGACTTGCTCCCGCATTTTCAAGTGTGAATATTTATTTTCATTCTTAGAAGTTGTACTTTTTTGCAAGTCTCTCCCTCTTTCTCTCTCTTCTTTCTCATTCAATTGTACGATATCTCTTTATCAAAGTCATATAGTCTGATACCGATATTCGTACACTCTGCAATAATTATTTAGAATTCTAAGGGAATGATCTTATTTACTTAAAAAACTCATGTACTTTGGATTCATGATACCTAATAAATTGAAATATATTAAATTGTTTTATTTATAATGGAATATTTAATTATTGAATTGTAAATAATTTTTATCACAATTGAAGCTCGAAAAATAATTTAGAGTGATAAAATAATGAATATATTTTTATACTCATATAGTTGCTCTAATAAATAATCTATAAAAAAAGAAAATATATCTATTAAGTGTAAACACGAAACAAGAATCAGATTAAGCACCGCTGTCAGTATCAAACTCATATATCGATTAACTGAAAAAACAAGTAAAACGAAAAAACTAACAAATAATGTCTCTAGCAACGTACAAAGGTATGATAAATTTTTTAATCTCGAGGTCATCTTCGTATAGATCAAAATATTAAAAAATTCTTTGATCTTAAACTAATTCGAATATCTCAAAAAGTAGTTTATTTTTTTTTAAATTTTTGCTTCACCGTATTCCGGAGAGTTTTTTCTATTAATGACAGTTGTAAAATACAAGTGCTCAACATAAGAAAACACGTGACACCGATTGAAAGAAAACGCTCTAGCCTGCAGTAACGAGTGAGTCTAGGGCTCAGACGCTCGGTGCTGGGGCATTGTCATTATATAAAACTTTTTACCTCGTTTTGACGCCTTTTATCGGTCTGTCTAATTGAAACTTATAAAAGCACATTGGAAAAAGTGGAATCGTCGAATGCTGAGACTTCTCCAAGCCGCGCCCGGCTGTGATGCGGTGACACAAGCGGTGACATGGGACGCGCTTCATTTTATCGCTAATTGCAGGTAATTTTACTGCGAACCAGTCAATGATAATACATATTTTTATGAAAAAAAAGTCAGAAAGTTCAGAAAAAAAAATTAATTAGGTCAAACATTATTAACAGTTAATTGTTTTCGAAATTCAATAGTTCCATCGTTATTAAAGATATCCGGATGACCTCTTTTTTAAATACGCCGTAAACTTTGAACTTTAACTTAGTATCAATAAAAAATAAAAAATGTTAATTTTTTAAAAATGTTGTTAAAATTTTTAAAACATTGCAGTTTTTTAACGATCTATTGTATAGATTAAAAAATTATTGCTTAGTCAATTTAATTGCTTAGTAAATTTCTTAGACTTTTTTTTATAAAAATATGTATTAATATTGACTGGTCCACATTAAAATTACCTGTAATTAGAGATCAAATGAAGCGCGTCCTATGTCACCGCTTGTGTCGCCGCATTACAGCCGGGCGCGGCTTAGCGAAGTCTCGGCATTGCACTTTTGTCAATGCGTTACAGTTCCGATTTTTTTAATTGTTGCATCATCGCATTCCTTGTACTTTTTACATGGAAATGTATATCAACGTTTTTAGGTTATACATAAAATTGTTTATAATAAATGATCGAACGAAGGGTTGCCGTGACATCACTGTACTGCATTACCACACGCGCTATCGCAAGTTTCTTAATGTGCTATTGTTTCGATTTTAAAAAATTGTTACACGATCATGTTTCTTGGATTTTTTATATCGGAATATGTATTATAGTGTAGTAAGCGATCGAAAGAAGTATGACACGTCGCGACGATCGTCTGCCTAGCAGAAAAACTAGTTTTGATATGTGGAAAGTGTTCTTTGAATTTTTATGAAAAAACTAATCCTTTTGTTCAAATATGTGTAATATGTAAAAGGCAATTAACACGATTGTTTTAGAATCTTTTAACAAAGTAAACTCTTGATATTTAGACAGTTTTAAAAACAAATTATTGCAGTTTGGAGCCAATATGAATTAATTGTCGATAAAATATGAAATATAGCATAATACGAGGGAGGATATAGAATAGTGATTATAAACGATAAAAATATATTTTTACTTCATATTTGCTATTTATTAAAATTAACCACATTATTTATTTTTCAATTAGATGCAGTTCCCTTAGTAAACAGGTACCACTTTATGATTTGACAGACGCGTATACGTTGTATCATCACGACTATACAAAATGAAAGACGTTTCGAACTTTTGCATTTGCTCATTGTCAAGTAAATTTCTATATATTGTATTTTTATCGACGAGTATTGTCGAACGTATCATTGACATCATTTACGAATAATCGTTATTAATGCATTGAACAGTAAAGTAACCACACTTCTCACAAGATAACATTCTCCATATGTAAATAGAATTTTTAAACATACGCTTAAATATTTCTATGCGTATTTCCTCACTTATTGTGAGCTACATCGAATTTCATTAATTTATCAATAAATTGCTAAATTTGGAAAGATTCATCATATTAAAATACAGTATTATGCACTTAGATGCATTAATTTTTGGACTTTTGAAAAAATCGCCAATATTTACGTGTAAACTTAGCATTTACAGGAATTTGACTAATTAGCAATTATCATGAACGTGAATATAATTTGTCAGTATTTCGTTGAAAACAAAAGCATTAACTTATCATAGTTGAAATCTTTTCAATACGTTCTTAAAAATAAATCACCTGTTTTCTTTATTTCATTTCTAGATATAAAAAAAACACAATTGTTCCACGTGATAAACAAATTATTTAATTAAATACTATTATTTTTCGTTAGATTTACAATTTATCATCTTATTTTGATAAATAAACAAAAATAATCATTGTTATGTGCCTTTGCATGCTGAAAATATAACGTTCTAATGATTTCAAAATTCATTGTTGAATTTAACGATCAGTATACAACATGAACTAAACATTTTGTTGTTACAGTCTTTATCTCATGACCAGCCTGATAAAATTTGTCTCTAGGCTATGTATTATTTTAAACTCCTACTACGACGTATGTTCTTAAACATATTCGTCTAGCTGGTTGACAGCAAAAAATAATTTGTTTTTGACCAACTTATACATATAAACTTCTTTGTATAGAAAAAACAAGGTATTTGTATTTGTACCTCACATAAAACATAAAGTAAAATGCTAAACTTATTTTATCAACACTTTTACAACGAAGAAAAATGCTTAATTGATTATAATTTGCAGTAGGGCATTATATATTCTGTAATTTTTGAGTATATTTTACAATGTATTAGAATATTCTTGATTCAAAATATCGTTTATCATATTCTGTAGTTTACATTTTGGAAAAATTTACTTATTATTTTTGAAAATAACGCATGCAATCAATAAACGACAAGTATATTAAAATTTATTAAAACATTAATGAAATGTAAAAATATATTTTTGTTGATTTAATTTTTGTAAAAGATAGTAATTACATCTTGTAAGTAAATGATATTTAACTGGAAAATGATATAAATGTGTTTGACAATTATCGTTTTATTAACTTGTAAAAAAATTTATGTATTCAAATAGAAATAGAAAATTTCATGGGTATCGGTTACAAATACTATACTGAAAAAAGTCACCATTGCATAATATTTTTTTTATTTTACTTTTAAGAATATTCTGACATCAATCAAGATTGGTTCAATTCCATTTAATGGAATAGCAAGATATTAGACAAGGTAACAGGGAAATGCCATAAAATAATGAACTCGTGTATCTGATAATAATCATATCTACAAAAAGTATATGTTACTATATTTCACAATAATAAATTTACAGCTCAAAAAGTTTTGCAATATCTATTTCCTTGAATAATTTATTACTATTAAGTATTCGCCCGTGCACAATAAAGAAAAAAGGCTGCTCAACGTTAAAGCTGTTTTAATTTCATTATTGACTTTCAAATGAAAATATTTGTTAATACTTAAGAAGTAGAAAAATGTGAATAAACATAAGATACCCTTACAATCTAATATCAAAAAATACAACCATATGAAGTACTTCTATTTACTTTTTTATGAGTGTATAATGTACATGCATACCGTCAAGATCTTTTCCATTACATAATAATAATTCAGAGTCAAATAGTTGTTAATATAGATTTTTAGGATTATTACAAATTGCAAGGAAATCATTATTATATACATATTTTTTGCAAGTCTAATTATCAAATATATTATGTAAATTTCAAAATATTTTTGTCTATTTTGATCAATTATTTTTTAGCTAAGTTATGAGTTGATATCAATTTTTTACGTTCAAGTAAAAATAACTTAGTTATATAATAAATATAGAAATTTTTTATCTTTTGATTATTTTTACTATTTTGATAATAAGCTTTTTAAATTTTGTTGTCATATGTTATCAATATTGTTAGCTTGAAATGAGTAAAAAAATAGTAAGATATTTCTTAATTTACTTACTATTGATGCAACGTAAAATATTTGGTTTAATAACATTTCGTCTGAAAATATTTTTTAAATGATTAACTTTTTTTGTATACATTGCAGTTTGTTTACCAAAACTTGAATGATTATATGCTTATTTGAAATATGACAATTTATAAATTTGAATATTTCAACTTGCCTCCATTCGTAAAATTGCACAAAATATTCTATCAGCTAGATACATTCTCATAAAAAAATCTTTGAAACTTCGACCAAGTAAAATAATCAAAAACAGTAATTCTGAAAGCTTGTGAGCTTATTTCAGCCGATATGCAAAATTAAATCTGATGAAATAAAAATATCTTTGATGGTACACTTAGCAACGGCATAAGATAAAGTAATTACACGTTTGAAAATCATACTTATAACCATCAATCGAACATTCGTAGAGATTCGCCTAAAATGAGTCGTGATTTCAGGTCAGGGAGTCGAAGATCCTGGGTCTTTGGCAACAGCAAAGTCGACGAAGTTGGGCGGCAACGGCACCCTCGTTCACACGCATTTTCGATCACCGTTCTTCGGCTGTCTCGCCAAGTTGGCCCGGTTCTTGCTGTGGCCTTACTATCTGGTACGTTATGAGGTATTCGGGATAGGCTTGCTCGCCTCGATAAACCACATACTCTGGGAAAACAAGACCACCCTGCGACGGCCGACCCATTACACTGTGGTGGCCAGGCGGTGCATGAGCCATCTTCATCGCCGAGAATTGTAAGAAGGACTTACCAAGAGTTACGCGACAAAGCAATAAATGCCTGAAACCATCATAAAAATAAAAATAATTTCAGTTTATTTTATCTTAAAGACTTTTATAATAAGTTATATTCTTTACCTGTGGCAAATATAACAACTACGATCTTTGTGCACAGGACAACCTGTGCCACCACAAATTCCGTACACGTATTGGTTACTTTTGCTACTATGCTCGGCAAAATAAATACCAGCACCAAACATACCACCGATGTAGGCGTGACGCTCATCAAATCCTTTTTGCACAATAGCGTTGATAAAAGGGCTGCCGTGGAAAAGCATACGCTCGTTCGCTAAAGTTGTAGCCGACGAACTACTTACACGACTCGTTGCACTTGGCGAAGTCGGTGCTTGAGTCACGGTGACTTCTTCGGCGACTTCTTGTCTTCGGTGTGCGTATCTCTCCCAAAGTTTTCGATTTTGAACTTTTTGAATCTAAAATTAAAAAGTACGTATTAAATGATGAAGTATTTAACTAATGCCAATTTAGTTTTATAATTGACATACTCTAACTATATTATATCTTGAGAAAATGCCTCCTGAATGTCCATTGTCTCTATGCTCCCTAATAGTGCTTTGCATTTCCTCCTCAACAGCCAAGAATTCTTTATCCTCGGCAAGTAGATCAACCAACAGCGTTCCAGGATTTATTGACGGTTGCCAGATTGATCCAGCAGCTGAGTTAAGCAATTTATCCATGCCCTTAATCAACTTATGCCTATACCCGTAAGCTGAAACTCCAACTTGCTTCAAATCTTCGTGGCCCATCTCTGCGAGAATATCTAGAGTGATTTGTTCACGCTCAAAGAGCTCCATTAAATGCTCGAGACCAAGGTTCTGTAGAAAACTTGAGATGTTGGTTATTGCCCCACCAGCACTACTCGGACGAACGTTTCGCTCATTGCAAGATTCTTTGCCTGAGTCGCTACGATCGGAACCACAATGTTCAGCTGTCGAAGACATGGGGCTGATGCAAGAATTTGGTCGTGCCACAGGAACGCAGAGGGTTACGGCTACACCCGACGGCATTATCACGGTTTCTTGCGTTAACGACGGTGGTGGCGATACTGAAACTGCAATGAATGATTCAGAATTCAATGTGAATTCAAACAAAATTATCAGTATTACAAATGATGCAGGGATCGATTTTAGAATAGAAAAAAGTAACTTCCTGTTTGTTTTTACAACTTACCTGCTACGCTGTTAGGTGTTCGACTAGAAGTATTCGAGTTGAATACGCCTGGTGGTATGGAAGTAACGACTTGTTGTGAGGCCATGGCATCTTGCAACAGACTCTTCACGTCATCTGCACTAGCCAAGTCCAAAGGACTCTGACCTTCTTGATTCTTCAGGAATGGATCGGCACCGTGAGCAAGTAACAGTGCACATAATTGCGTTCTACCTTTTTGTGCTGCTTCATGAAGTGGTGTGAAACCCCATTTATCGGTAGCATTTACTACTGTGTTGTACTTTATTAGTAGAGCTGCGATGTCAAGGTGACCATAACTTGATGCGTTATGCAAAGGAATCAAGCCACCCTTATCTTGTGCGTTTACATCCGCACCACGCTCAAGTAGGAATTCAGCTACTTCTAAATTATTATATCCAGCTGAAACAAAGAAATACAATGATACGATTTTTCTATCAGTTATTGGACAATAAGGTTGATTTCTTAAGTCTACGTAAAAACACATTAGTAAAACATCTATATGAATAGAAAATTGTATAGTAACTTGAATATTTAGATAAATAATTAGTTATCTCATAAAGTAAGTGCTAACATTTAAGTCTTTTGGTTTCAATAAAAAGCAAATAAATAATTAGAAAACAAAGATAATTTTTACATTTACTTTAAGTATAATAAAAATTATAAAAATTGAGAATTCATCATAATTATATACAGCAATAATGTAAAAAATATAGGACGTACCAGCTAAATGAAGAGGTGTGCTGTTTCTTCCTTGAGCATCTCTACAATTGATGTTATCCTGCGTCACAAGCCTCTGCACACGTGCGAGGTTTCCTTTTTTTGCAGCATCGAGCAATGCGCTATTACCCCGCAACAAATCAGCAACATCTTGATCACCTTCTCTTACAAGATCCAAAGGTGTCGCGCCATCGCGATTTTTCTTTGTAGCATCAGCACCGTGACGAAGTAACAATCTCACAATCTCGCATTTACCCTTCGCCGCAGCTTCATGTAAAGGTGTAAACTTCCACAAATCAGCCACATTTACTGAAGCACCATGTTTCACTAAAAGTTCTGTTACTTCGTAATGACCATAGGAACATGCGTTATGCAGTGGAACCAGTCCTCTAAAAAATAGAAGCAGTTATTTTTTAATTATAAATTTTTTTCAATAGGCTTAAACTAAGAAAATGCTTGTAGACAACTGATTTTTATAGTAATACGTACCCCTTATCTTTTGCATGGACATCAGCTCCGTGAGCCAAAAGGTATTCCACCACCGGAACTCGATTGTAACCAGCAGCAAAATGTAAAGGAGTGGAGTGCCTACCGTCCAAATCGCGACAGTTGACAGCATGAGGATTCGCCTGAAGGATTCGTTCAACAGCTGTCAAATCACCAGATTTGCTAGCTTCCAACAGTTGAGCTTCAACGTCTTCCGATCCATTCGGTGGATCTAAAACAGATATTAACGAATGACATTAGTTTACGTAAAAATAAAGATTGCCTTTAAAAAATACA